TGATACTGACAGCATCTCCACAGGGATAATGATACTTTCTTTTGCAAAGCACTATCTGTGCTATCTGCAAAGCTATATAAGAACTAAGTATTATTATTAGAGATGGAAAAGGCCTATTAGATCATCTACCCATCTCTGATGTAGCAAAAAATGACAGTGATTTGCTGCTGTGATTTGACAGTGGCATTTGTAAAAATGTCCTCTTTTCTTAGCTCTCTGCAAGTTTCAGTGCTGAGGATTCAATAAGCTAGGCAGCTTACTAACTTTGTCAGTCTCCACTTCTATGAAGCATACTGAGATATTAAATACATCCATTTCAGGCCCACATTCCCATCTTCTTCCTTCAACTCTTATTTTTTGAAGAGGAAGGAAAGAACAAACCTCATAAATAAGGCACGTCAAGCTTCACAATTCCCCAGGTGCAAACCACTTGCATCTCACCCCTTTGCAAGGCAGTACTGCAGCATCCCTCCTGCTTGGGATTGTGCATCACGTAGGAGAGAAGCTGTTGTGCATCTTGCTGGTGTTTTCCAGCAGACTTCTAACTCAGAAGCCATCACAATATACCCATCACAATGCACTGTGATATGAGCATGCATCCATCATGTAACCTATACAAGGTAGATGCCTGATCAGATAATGCATAGAGTCTTATGTGCCGGCAGTCGAGGTGTGCAGAACTCTTGGTGGTGGATACTGGCAGGTTGAAGATCCTTCTCCTCACAGAACAAGGTTCTGCTCCTCCATCACTTTCAAGAGAAAGAACTGGTTTTGCTTTTCCTTATACTCCCTAAAATGTCTCGGAATATTTGCTATAACAGGTTTTCAATTTAAGTGCCAAATAACAAAATGTCTGGAGGGAAATCAGTTGAGGTATTCAGAAGATGACTCTCAACATGATTCACACTGCTGTGAGCAAAGAAGAGGACTGTCTAGCCTTCTGCACTGGAATGATAACAGATACTGGATGCAGTGTTACTCAGATACAGTTAATGGCAGTGACTTCTGGTAGATGATACAGAATAGTAAACTCCTATGACCTGTTCTTTAACACTCTGTGCCCAAACCATTATATGTCACACTTGGTAAGAGTGAATAACCTTTCAGTATCTACCTCTCTTCCCTTCCATGCTCTCGGTCATATGAGACTGAAGGACTGGTACACGAATCACCTCCATGTATTCACAAAGACAGCAGAGCTAAAAGCCGTCAGGGAAAAAGGATTCAAAGTATTGGCCTCTCCAATATTTAGCAGTCATTGCACAGACTTGCACATTCTGAAAGCCTTCTCACAGACATAACAAATGCTTACATAAAGCCTTGCACCTTTAAAGTGTTTCACCAGCATAAATATATTAGTAAGACCTCTCCCAGAAGAGAATGCAGTGTCAGAGAGATGCCATTCAAATCGCTGGGCTCTGGGAGATAGAGCTTCAAATATCTCATTAAACCTTCATCCTCTGCCATCAATGTCAGGCCCCTTCAGAAAAAATGATAGAACGTACAATGGAACTTTACTAGCAAAAAGAAAAGTAACTGCTCGTAAAATGATTTTGCCCTCTATGATTGCAGTGTTAATTAAATTGTATATTCTGTGATGAGCATCAACTGAATTCAACATGAAGTGAAATAAAAAGATTTTTATACTCAGTTTGACTGATGCCACCTAGATGGTTCTTTAAAAGTGAGTGGTGACAACTGCCACTGATGTGCTTTGGTATGCATGTTGTTTAGGGTTCATAATAAAACCATAAAGGATAGTTTGGCATCTGATACTTAATTACAAACATATTTAGAATTTTAGTTAGCACTAGGTTGTTAAGAACTGACAAACTTACCTAAAAGTGCTGAAGGAAATAAAACATGTCATTCTTCAAATATTGTAGACCACATACAGATGCGCTTTTCAATGACAAATTCATTATGCAATTTTAGCATGCAGAATAGTCTACAAAAGCTATTTTGGTAGCAATAGAATTATGTTTGTCATACATTTTCTGATGAAATCCAGTTGCATAGGTTTGTTTTTTTTTTTTAGTCATGTTTTCTTACAACCAGTAAGCCAGAACACCATATCATGTTTGTGATCACTACCAAGAAACAGGCATGTGTTTGTTGCTACACAACTGGCAGAGGTAAATCATGTCAGTGTCTGTATGTGCAGTACTGTATTTGCTAATTCTGAAGCCAGGCTACTTTGTGGTTGCAGCTGTATCTGCTCTGAATTCTGCAAAATCCGCTCTGTCAGCTGGTGACTGGTTTATGGAGACAGGACCTTTCTCATCCCTCACTGTTCCCCATCCTATGCACTAGAATTTACTTTGCATCTTTGTTGTGGAGCAGGGGCTGGAACACCAAAGATAGTGAGGTACTTGGCAGTAGTCAAATATGGAAATATGAATGACATTTTGTGTGAAACAGCTCCCACACTACTGACAGACTCTTGGTTCCTTATAGAGATTTCTTTTCCAGCCTAGGCTAAGCAATTCTCTGAATTAGGCTCAACATACATACAACAAAAGTAGAGGTTCCACAACAGAGCAAAAATAAGTGATTTTGATTGTGGATTTGAAATGGATTTAGATTAGAAATGCTTAGCCTACCTACATCTTGAGTAACTGGTTTCTGTGGGGTCACTTTTTATTTGTACAGTGAGCTCAGGAGCTGTTGCGGAAAAGTTACAACTAGTATATAGAAAAATAAGATTAACAAAGAGTCCAACTAACCTAAATTATGATATATTCTCATATTTATTGGATGCTTTGCATGTTTATGAGCATAGAGATGCAAAAATGAAACAGATCTCCTGTATTATGAAAAAAATATCTAGAGAGTTGGTGTAAGCACAGTTTTCCATGATGTATTCATAGGATGATATTGCCTAGGTTCTTCTATAATATATAATAAGAAAAGAAATAAATAAAAAAGCCACACATAGGTATCAACTTCAAAAAGGGTCTATAAAAAACCTACAAATATGACAGTGTTTTTTCTGCATATAAAGTACCTGACATTTGAAGAGAAGTGAGGACAGAGACTCAAATGGGAACTAAGAAAAGCTATTTTCTTCTAGCTGACTTGACTATCATTGCAAATATATTAGAATTGACAAAAGACAAACAGATATAAAAATATACATCCATCAGTTCACTTAGGCTCTAAAAACACAAATACTGTACAACACAGATTTCATCTCTACTGCAAACTATTCAAAGCTCTTGTAAGACTGTTCTAAGATCCAAATACTTTAAGAATTATTTATTTTTATTACCTCCTTCTGTTTTAATAAAGAGTTCTTTCCAAGTCAGAATGCATTTTTGGAAGTAGCTCATACTGTTCATTATCTATTTCAAGTATCATTGTTTTGTATTAACAGGATATGAACTTTATGAAGTAAACAAGCAACTGAGTCAAGGTCCTACTGTGGACATGAGCTATAAAGCTCAACAGGCAATGTTCTATGCCATAAAACAGAAGAAGCCCCGCACTAACTTATACGATGTTATCAGTCAGTTGCATATGGGGATATCATTGCTTATAGTCTAGAAGCTTAAAGTTATACTTAAAAGGTAAATTTTCAATTTCTCCTTGTGTAGTATTTGGCTTATTTTATGTGTTTTGAAATAGAAGAACATGAAACACTTTAAGATCACACACAATAATGCAATAAAAGTCCAATTTATAAAGTTTGTAAGAATTAACACACTCCAGTTTCACATTTCTAGCCTTCTGGTATGCTCATGCCTTAAAGGAACAGGGCCCTTGAACTGCAAACTTTTTAAATCTTTTTTAAAATTTTCATCCTTAGCTGTAAGAGTGGAAGGAAAGTGGCCCATATAGCATGGGTACCATTGCATATGCAGTAAGAGAGCCTTGCAAATGCTGTCACTATGAAACAATTGCATGCAGAATAGTCTCTATGTAGCAGTGGTTTTCAAGTCAATAAGCAGTGAAGAAAAACATCTGAAAAGACAGTCTCTGAAATCACAGAAAAAGGCAAGACAAAATCTACCATTTTTGAAAACCTGAGATGGCTGCATGGCTCAGCACCTGCTGAGTTTTTCACAACTTATAACCTATACACAATATTCAGGGTTTTGCCATTTGTACTAATGAAAGATTTAATCCAGGGACTGTCCCTTTAATTACGGAAACTAAGGTTTGAATCCAAAGCAGTTTATTAGCTAAATTAGACAACTCAGACTCAGATTTCTTCTTCTCCCACCAGAGAACTGAAGCATGCTGTGCACTCTGACTATTATGAGTGGGCAGATATTATCTAGCAATCAAAAGGAAAAATAACGTAAAACTGAGTACAAAATGCTCTTATAATAAGCAAAAAGGTGATATGCCAGTATGAACAATTTCACAGGATGCACAATTTAGTGATGAAATACTTCCAAAAAGTGCCTTGTGTAAATCTAGCACCATACCTACTAAATAATGAACTCACAGGATGTTGGCACAAAGAGGATAATAGAAAAGATGATTAATATTTGAGTGAGATGCCATTCCAAGGTCTTTGTCAAATGCATAATTCTAATCAATAGATATTATTGCATAGCAGCTGAATAAAACTGTAAGGTATTTCAGGGAAAACCTACCATTAACTTCAGGCACAATAAGATGCCTTGAGAGATAAACATTGAGAATGATCAGGGCCACAAAGAAGCCTAAGTACACAAAGCAAATTACAATTCAAATGCAAATTCTATGTACCTAAACTGCATCAATTCGAGAAAAAGTCAAACTCATGAAAACTTTCTTAATATGTTGCACAAAGTATCAGAAAGATTGAAAATAGGATTAGCAAAGGAGATTGTGCCATTCAATGAGTATTGGAAAAGATGTTTATCAAAAATTTATCAGGCGAAGTAAGCCTGAGAAATGCTGATAACAGATGGGAGCTGTCTCAGAAAAAAAAATGTTGCTAGTTTGACTTTCTCTGGCTAGGGATAAAAATGTTCTGGGGGAAAAGAAAAAAGGTTGATGTTTCTTACCTCTTCCTTCTCTGCACTTTGCAAGTCCCTCCATTCCTCAGTGACATGGCCGAAGTCCACTGTGTTCATCGCAACCTTATACTCTCCAATGATATCATGTTTGGAGAAACGATCAAAGTCATAAACTGCCATCACTAAAGTTTTTCCACCCAGTTCGGAGTATGGCACCTGCAAAGACGAGAAAATGACAAACTCTGTATCTGAGACAATAAAGATCAGTCCACTACAATGCAAATCTATTTCTTTGGTTTATCAGCTGTCATCTTGGGTAAATTGAACTGCAGAGAAACTTATGAGGTGTATTTGTTTCAGCGTCACCAGATGCAGTATTTTTTGAGGCCAGGCTCTGGCACTCGATAGAGCAATGTGGCAGCTCACTCATCACTCCCTGCGTTTTTCTCATTCTACTTCAAATCGTTTTGTGGATGATGAAACTCAAACAGAAAGCCCAATTATTTGCAGTGAAGACACATGAACTTTTTACACAATGGTGTCTTTTCCTCAATAAATCAACTGTCATCACTCAGAAATGGATAGCTCCCAGACTGATGAAAAAACCAGAACTGGCTTACTGTACCTGACACAGAGTAATTAGACACTAAACAGTTCTCTTAGAGTACCACTGCCTATTACTGACCAGGGCATATTTTTCATTATTATACCTTTCACACCGTAGACACTAAAATGCTTTCTAAGTCAAAGTGTACAGCTAGAAACTGGGGTGGCAGAAGGCCAAGTTCTGACTAACTCTCCAGCTGTTTTGATGTTTTGGACAGATGCTGTGAGTTAGGATGCTTATGAGTCACAATTTTAATATTCAGATGAAGATGTGCAGTTCAGGTAAGCTACACTTGAGTGGCTGTCTCGAAAGGTCTGATTTAGGGATTGTTTGGACTTACACTGAACACTTGGTCAATTTTAATATATTCTGCAAGTACAAATAGTTTCGATGGGCTTCAGTAAACATTCTGTTATTAATTGTCTATACAAAACCAGAAATGAAAGTGTGGCATTATAACTGGCCTTGTTAACCTCTGTATGTTCCAGTCTGTTTAAACTCGAGGAGTGTTGCCTTCTGTTCCTGTTTGCCTTCAACTTGCTTTTTAAAACACTTACTAATAACACAAGGACATGCTATATAATGCTTGAAAGGATCTTTACAAGTTGAGAGCCAGCTCCAGTTTCCATTACTGAGTAAAATAGTTTCAGTGGGCACAGGGTTATGTATTGTAACAAATACTACAGCAAAATCTACTTTGAATCTGCAAATTATGTGTAACTTCTAAAAAGCTACAGAAGGCAAATATGTGTGGAAGGCAAAATACTAAATAATTTCACTTTTATTTTTATGCAGACTCAAAAAAGGAGAAGAAAAATGTTCTAAAGTTTCTTTTTCCATCAGTTTATAATGCCACTTAATGGATCCTGGTCATTTGGAATGCATGAAAAGACTACACATCATTATTTAGTTGTGGAGTTTTTTTTGGTTTTGGAACTTGACCTCAATAAAGCTTATTTTAGCTACCTTTCTTTTTTCAATGCTTCCTCCCTTCACTATGTCTAAAGTAGCCTCAGCCTCCAGGTTTGTTCAAGACTACCAAGGATGTCCTCAGCTCTTGTGAAGGATTGCTCCCTCTCCCTGCTTTCTGCTCTACTCAGAGATACCCAGCCTCTTGATGTAATTCAGGTAAGACATTGGTAGAGTGTTTTTCTAGCATGGACATGTCATAGAATCATAGCATGGTTTGGGTTGGACGGAACCTTAAGATCAACTAGTTCCAACCTCCCTGCCATGGGCAGGGACATCTTCCACTAGAACAGGTTGCTCGGAGCCCCATCCAACCTGACCTTGAACACTTCCAGGGATGAGGCAGCCACAGCTTCTCCGGGCAAACTGTGCCAGCGTCTCATCACCCTCACAGGGGAAAACTTCTTCTGAATGTCTAATCTAAATCTACCCTCTTTCAGTTTACAGTCATTCTCCCTTGGCCTGTCACTACATGGCCCTTGTAAAAAGCCCCTCTTCAGATTTCTTGTAGGCCCCCTTTAGACATGAACCTTCTTTCTGCTTTGGGGCTGAGAAGGAAAACCTCCCTCTGCCAGACTGGTGTTGGCCATCTAGGATTCCTTAGTTCCCTTCTGGCAGTGTGGCAGGTATACAGTTCAGACAGATGGAGCCTGATTAACACCTGCACCCTGGAACAGCACCATGGATGTCTGGGAAACAGAAATGAAAAGGGGACTAACACAGGGAGCCACCCAAAGAAGAGAAGGAATGAGGTCCAGGGCTGTGTTATGTTTCTGCAATACAGCAGAAACATAATGCACTCAGTCCCATCAGCTTTTCTTTAGGAGGAAGGCAGGCAGCTCACAGCAGTGCCCTGGGAGAAGGTAACAAAACAGGCCTGCCTGGTGGGCAGCTCTGCCAAATCGAGAGATGGTAAGGATGCCAACAGAAGCTGTGCACTACCTGAAGGGGTCACAGAAGTAAGGCTGTGCCCAACTATGTGCCCAACTGTCACAGAAATTATGTATTAATTACAGTTGCAGCACTAGTGAAATGGTCACTTGTCTTTTTCACTGTAGTCCCCAGAATAATGATGGTATTTAGCATGCCCCGTGCGTTTTCTCTTGAGTACAGACCACAGTATCCAGGTGGTGATCAGTGCCATACTGGGATGCACCCAAACACTGTCAGGTCTTGTGTCGAAAGCAAACTTTCTTCTGGAGTATAGAATTTGAATATTAAACGTGTGACTTAAAACAAGTGGACATTAAGGCCCAGGAATGGAAGACCTGATTCATAATTTGTACCTTTGGTTATTTTTTTCTTTTGTGAGCTTCATGGGAATCTGTAATTTAGAACTCTGTTTTCTTTTAAATACTTTCTTAGGGAAGTTCAAGGAAAAAATAACTCCACACAGACGATTACTTTTATGAACATCTTCAAGGGAAAAAATAAGCTTATATATGCAGTAGTAGTTCTGGCCTCTAGGGATATCTTTCTCATTGAATTATTACATAGCCTGAGTCTTTCACTGTTCCTGTTTTCAATCTGTAGCTGTCATTATAAGATTGGGCACAGACAGAAAGGCCTGAAGTAACAGCAGAGGAATGCACATTAGGAGAAGCCCTATGAAATATGCTTTATACTATTCCTTTATTGTGTTTAACTGGTGTTAGGTACAGCTACAGTTCTAGAAAAACACTATTAATAGATATTATTGGAATGACTTAAATATTGCAACTTAAGGCTTAGCTACATTTATTAAATTTGTATGTTATTAATCCTGAGACATGGTTTCTTTTCATATGTAAAGTAGCATAGCAAAGAATTGCTATGACAAAGTCCAGCAAGATTAATCTACCATAGTGTCCTTCATCCATTTACCTTCCTTGAGTTTTAATTTATTTTTGAGGGGAAAAGAAATGGTATACTGGAATTCATAAATCAGACTACACAGATATTTAAAGAAAATGCTGCTCTAGTGAAATTTACCTGACATTTGTCGAAGTGTCACTGTTTTCTAACCTTCTTGTAAGTTTTATCCAGCTATAAAGTCTGGGTCAGATTGTCATACATCAGCTAACTGAAGTGCCTAAAATCAGACTGTGCCTTTTACACTCACTGAGGTCTGACCCTGTGTTACACCATTCCATCATAAGAAGATTGAATATCACAGGTTTCTACAATATGAAAAACCACTATGCTGAGCTACTAATTAACTAAGATGCCTAACTTAGTAGCCAAACGTGAGAGAGATAGTCATTAAATAAAAAAAATTAAATAATCACCTTGAACGTAAATTGCTCATTGAAAACAGGGTTAAGGGTCTTTCTGTGGACTTTTGTTTCATATTTCTTCTTCTTGTCAGGCAGCAGGAAAACTTTCACATAGGGATCGGATGTACCACCCATATCTAATGCAGGCAGCTCAGCTGCTTGAATAATTCCAACCAGAAGCTGAAAAGAGAGAAAAACAGCAGAATGAAATTTCAAATAGATAGTTATAAAAAACCCACCAAAAACTGTAACAGAGAAATACACAGGGAGACTCTATTTCTAGTCTATGAAAAACTATTTCCCCCCTTCAAGGAAGGCAAATGAAGCAACGTTATAGACTTTGGAAAACCAATTATGGCAGATGCAGACTGTACAAAGGCTGTTTTTAAGCAGAAAACGGGTTTTCAAAGGGCAGCTGATTACAGCTAAATACAGACTTCATCTTTTTAAAGACTGCAATCAAATAACTTTCAATTGCTCTCTCCTCTTGTGCATTATTTTTCTATGCTGGGCACCATGAATAGAAATCACATTATTAAACAATCAAGAATGTCTAATTTTGACTACAAAATTTGTATTCTAAATCCCCAACATGTAACCCTCCCCCCAGCCAAACACAAAAAGGTGATATATCAAACGCAAATCCTCAAGCAGAGCTTTGCTGAAACGGATCTTGCAGTATTCCTTGTATTTAACTTCTCCTGCTATGTATACAAATGGGTTTAAGTGGTAAAGTAAGGACAGCATTTTCAGAAAAATACCCCATAAAAACTAACCTTTGGTAACTAAATCCTAATAACAATTCATAATCTCATTGCAAACCAGAAAAATTAGTTTCTTAAATCTCTTCTGTACTTTTAAAAGTCAGACTGAAGCACATTTGAGACTTGCAAATACCTTGGCATTTTTTAAGTATTATAAACAAAGGGTTATGCTATGTTATGTTATGTTACGTTATCTAGACATACCAGCTTGTATTAGGCCTCATCACCACAAGGGAGTTGAGAGAAAGAAATACTTTTAATCTAGTTTTATAGTCAGAACTAAGGCAAACATTCAAGTGACTCTTCAAGGTCAATGCAGAGACAAGATATTAAGAACTGGGAATGAAATATAAGAATATTTTCTTCTAAATCAGTATGGCTTCACAGTATGGCTTGCATATTTTCCCATGGAAAATTCCTAGGAAATTTTCCCTCTTAAGCACTTAAGGACTCTAAAGAGGGAAAATTAAGCCATAACTTTATATATGCTATATAAAATTAGGATTCTTGAGCTCCATGAAACATTTTCCTTTAGCTGTAAGACACACTTCTATCTCATTCTTTTTCTAGATCCATAATAGCTCATAAATACATGGACAGGCTCAGGATCTAAATCCAGTCTTTCACACCTGAGAGTGAAGAACAAGTCTATGACTTCTACTTAACAGAATGGAAAAGCAATAGAATTGCCTTAAAAAATTTCTTTCTCTGAAACAGGCATCGTGCTCTGGAGAGTACATTGGTCATCTTGTCTCCATTCTCAACCTTGCGCAAAGTATTAGCCAGATTTTCGGTCTATAGTTTCATGCCACTGCACTGTACTAACCTAACTGAATCCCCTTTTCTACTCTTTTATATCATCTATCCTATGACAAATTCCAAGCTGCAACATAATTTAGACCAGCAAAATAAAACAGGCATCCATGACTCAATTTATTACCTTAATTAAATACTACACATATTTGTTGATCTCACATCCTATTTTCCTTTGTAAAATATAATTCACAAAATCAACATTTCCTTTAATAAAATTCACACAGAAAGTTTGTTTTCATATTCTAACTAAACTGAAAATCCATCTGTCAGAACACATTTGCAGCTCTTCCTTTCCCCCTCTTTAGACCTTCTGCTTCTGAAGGGTCTAATGCTTCACACTGATTTCATACTGATTTCAAGGGGGATGAGTGTGACTCAGCACAGGGCCAGTCTACTGGAAGTTGAAGAAAAGCTCCTTTAGCCACATGTTCTTGAAAGGCTTCAGAATTATTTTTGGCTCTTGCATTGCAAATAAGCACTGGTAGTCAGAAGATAGTTGAAAAGACAGGGAAATACTATGTATTATGCTAGGTCATAGCTGTGTGTGAATACTCTGATGCTGACACAGAAAATTTCCTTTATTTCTTTTATTTTCTCTGTCTTGCAACAAGTAAGTGTACTGCATTCTGTGAACAGCAAAAACAAAGAAATAGAATGTGGAAATAAATCACAAGTACATGTAGAAGTCAGTTAAGATGAAGAATAGGAATTAACAGGGATTTAAGTTTAGTAGCCATTTCTTTCCATAAATAGAGAAGAATGATATGGTTTTGACTGAAGCTGTCAAAAAATGAAATGCAGGGTATGTGTTCTCAAGTTCACTGAAAGACATGCAGTAAAAGTGAAGAAGTCCAAAGTTAAGCACAGTCAGTTTTAATGTGAGGCTGTGAATTTGTATAATTGACAAAATGATCCCAACCACAGCAAGAGGCCAGGGAAGGCAATTAAATATAAGCTAGTTCAAGATGTGGCCAGACCTGTTAAGTAGGTTGATCTTAGGTCTGTATCATATTATGGTGGGGATTCCTGCTGATAACTTGGGTAAGTATGTGAAAGTTTGGACTTCCCAGCTTCAGAGTAAGGTACTGAAGGGGTATCAGTCCATGACTGGAGAGATTCCTCTTGTCCAAATTTCCGCCCCCCACCCCTCTTTTTTTTTTTTCTCTCCAAACTAAAGTTTTCTTGGCTAGTAGATACACTCTAATAGAGAGCAACACAACCTAATGCAGCTAATAAGGCAAAGTGCACACTTGATGAAGTGAGAGAAAGCTACTCCTGGCAATCTTACCAACTTGTTAAAAGACCTGCGATGGATTAACTTACTTTTATGTCCCTCTTTTACCTCCCGTCTTTTGTTTGCTTACATTTTAAATACCTGAAGACTGAAGCTATCTTTTATTGTCTATATGCAGCCTCCATAATATAATGTGGTTTGACATTGATTGGTGATGCCTTAATATAAAAAGTTATTAATAACCATTAGATAAAACTGTGTCTTCAATTTTGATAAAGATGCAATATGAACCCCAAGCACATTAAATTCCAATTTACTAGTAAGTTTGTCATGAATCTTCAGTCTTGCTTTCTCCTTTTACTCTGTACAAGCACTAAGGATTTCAGAAATATCTACCTCAACTAAATGCATTACTTCATTCTCCCTTTGCACACATAGAAATGAAACATTACAGGTCGGTTGTTTCAAACCTGATTGTTCTGGAAGTCATAATCCAAAGAATATTGGATTTTCCCTAACTTCTCCACTTCTTTGGGTTCTTCCTTCTCTTCCCCATCAGTCAGCCCAGTCTCAGCATCATCATCCTTAAGAGCCTAGAAAGAAGGAATACATTAATAAATAAGGCAAACTTCTAAGGATGAGTTTAAAATAGACACTGTCCTCAAATCTATGTAAAAGCCATTAAAAGCAAGCATGACAGCAGAAGTCCAAATATGCAATTTACATATATATTTATACTATTTAGGTTGCTCAGGAAGATATTGTAAATCAGCAAGCAAGCAATGGAAGTAGGACGAAAGCTTCTTCAACTATTACAAGCAACCATTGTTATAAAACCTGAAAGTAGAAACAAAATACCAGCTCAATATGAAAAAATTCTTCTGGGCTCACACTGGCTCTTAAAGAGGCATGAGGAGGCAAACATGCTATTAAATAAGCAAAGTCACACATTCATTCAACTTAAGAATATCTTGGCAATGTCAAACCTGGTTATGCATGCTGTGAATTGTTTGCAATTGGCAACACGTTTCTGTAGGATTACTATGATTAAGAGCATGTGCTGTGGATGAGTTCTTCCTACAATCATACGCCAAACATTTTTCATGTTTATTTAGAATGAATATGGAAGCAAAGTTTTCACCATGCCATTAGCAAATGCATGTTTCTCCATTTCTCTCCCTCCCAAGACCAATTTCCTTTTTATTCATTCTCACTATAAAGCTTGGCTGAACCAAATTGATTGCAAGTTGATTTTAGTTTGCTTAGGAGGAAACACAAAAATAAAGAAATACAGAACTGTTTTACAGCTTTGTCTATTGCATAAACCCTGCTATTTTTAAAGGACACAGCAGTTACCTTAGATTTTATACATAATTAAAATACTAAATGATGTAATCATTTTTTACTGTACCAGAAAGCATAAGTATTTGCACTGTGAAAAAGGGAATTCATACAATTATTAAACCGTATGAACCAGAACTAACTGCGTAGATCATATTCCAGCAGATTCCTACCTAAGAACTGAAAAATGGGCAAAAGTAATGAGACAACTAGTGAAAAAATGTGGAAAATATGAAAATAAAGTTGAGAGTGTGAAAACAAGGAATCAATACTGAGCATTCATCCAGAACTGTTATTTGCATGTTAGAGTAAACAGTATGCTTATTATCTATAAAAGCCCTATCTGGATGGAAGTTCCTTCTATGTGGAACTTCTGCTTGCACAGAACTATTAAGTGCGAGAGTAAGATTTGTTACGTTCTTTCTTCACAATGTGAGGTGGTGTGAAGAAACCTACAGCATTTATAAACAATGGGCTGCAGCTGGAGCTCTCTATCTGAAGACAGAGCAAGACTGGAAAGTCGCTATATCCACAGTTGATGGTGGTTGGTGAAAGGATGATCAGGAAAGCATTAAAATTCTCACTCAGCCATGAACACAGTGGGGGCCATGCAACAATTGCAGGGGTGTGGTAAGAAGAAAGATTGATCTCTGAAGCAGAAAATGTTATTTTTCAGAAGCCAGATCTAAACTCAAAAGGTCAGACTCAAAACTGTGCAGTATTAAGCAATTATTTCTCTACTTTTAAAAATAAGCTAGAAATTCAGCTGGCATAGCTCAACTGAAATCAATGCAACAACATTGATTTAGGCAAGCTGAAGAGCTGGGTTTGAGTTAAATATCTGAATGTTAGTGAATGATGGACTCTTTACTAGGGACATAAATTACATTGTACCTGGATGGGATTGGTGGGTAAAGTCAGCAATGAGTAAGAATCACCTGTGATATTGGAAAAGAAATACTTTTTGAACTAAACCATTTCTATTTAGAAGGGCTGAGCTGCCTGAAATGAAAATTATTTTAAGACATTTTAATGGCTGAGCTGCTAGTGAGTTCCCTGGCTGTAGCACAACATTTTTGTTAGCACAACAACAGAGGTGAGACTTCGAAACTGACAGGCTCTATGGCAAGACGCACAGCCCCTGCAGAATGACATGTGGGACTTTCAGGATACGGGGTGATGTGATTAGCCAAAGACAATGCTTTCATTGGTAATAAAAATAAGCTTGAGGTTTTGTGATCATGATAAAAAAAGATGTGACTCAATCCAACTGAAGAAACCACATTTATCAGAGCCTGGAGACAACAGGAAGCAATAACTCAGAGTGGGATGTTAACTCCAAGACCTACTGCTCTGATTCATCCCAGTATTGCCTTAATAAAGGACTCCATGACAGAATAAACAGCTCCAGTGTATCACCGTTTCTGTGATAGTTACTGGACTTTCTGCTGTTTGATCTACTTTTGACCTGTATTTTGTTTGAGAGGAAATATCCTACAGCCATTCCTCAGGGATAAAAGGGAGAATGCAAAAAGAAAAGTATGCTGATTCCTAAGTATGACAAATTTGTAACTACTGCACCGAGGCAACACTGACATATCCATACTCTTGCTAGGCAAATGATCTACTCTTCTGCATAGCTGATCAATCTGGGAGATGCCAGAGCTGTAACTAACTCAATGTGAAATTATAATGGGAAGCTAACATCCCTCTTGCAAGGGAGCTTTGAAATGCAGGCAGAAAACATTGCCTGCACTTGGTTAACTCTTCACAGGTTATGAAAGGTCTGCTGGACGTGAAAGCTATATCCTGGGGAGATGGAAAACATTGTATGTTACTCACATCAGCTGAGGAGCTATGATTCTGCTTGGCCATGACTCAGAAATACTGAAGCACTAAGAAACATTAAGAATGACAGTGTTTGGATTTGGCCAAGGTCATGGCATGGGGGGAACGAAGAAATGACAAATTATTATGTCTACAGCAGTCTGTACATAACAGTTCTTACTGCCAAGAGAGGAATTTGCTTTCAAACTAGAGGCCAAAGGTACAAGAAGATGAGTCAAATGAAGCACAGAAGTTTCATGTTTGATGCAGCTGCTGAATTCCAAAGAGGAAAAAGAATTGGATTGCTTCAAAGTACTTGAAACACCCCACAGGGATTTTCATTTTGTATTGAGATTCTCTGAAAGATCAATATTTAATGGAATAGTACTGCAACCCTCAATTTATAGCACACTGTATCACACTATATTGGATCCTCCTGTTGTATTGCTACAATCAATTAAAATAAGCAGCTATATTTTATTGGTTTTAGAAACAATAAAATATTTTTAATTATAAGCTAGCTTTTTCCTCAAGCCTCTTCAACTGACACAATTGTAATCAGAAAGCCTGGTTTTAGATGCAGAGGAATATAAGCCTTGCCTTTCCTAGTAATTCTTTTAATCCCATGACATTTTAAATGCTTTTTCCGGGAAATACGTGACAAAAAAATGCCTTATTACATTGTGCTGGAGACCAGATTTATTTTTTTCTAATTTGGGATGACTGTGGATTTCACTCAAGTGGTTTCTTCATTTCTGCACACAGATGCAGAAACACACAACAATGAAACCCCTATATCCTCTTGCATACATTAAGTATCTGAAAAATGTAGGCTTATACGTAAGCAGGTGTAGGAATGTACAAAAAAAAAGTGTTAATCCAATGCATCCATTACAAGGCGATACATCCAAATCTAATGAAATCAGCAAGTGGGAAAAGTTACTTTGTGCCAGGGACCTTAACAGAGCCACACAAGATACATGTTTTCTTATACCTGGAAGACAAAATGAACTTTTGAGCAATCTCTCATTTAATCCATATTTCAATAAGTTCTGTAATTAGTTCTAAAGCCAAGGGACATAAATATACACATAGCATTAGGATTTTCTTTTCTGTGCCATGCTTAGGTAATCATTTTTTATTCTTATCTACATTTCATCTGCTCTGTAGTGGTTTCTACAAACAAACAGGGCTAAATTACAGTGATCCGGGATCCAAAATTGAATCTGCCATTTTTTTCTTTACTTCCATAACATAATTAAGGGTGGTTTTACAGTCTCATCTTTTCTTCTGGGTTGTTAAAGAAAACGCTTAATTTTGTTTGTGGGTTGGTTTTTTTTATTTTTTTTTTTAATGTTGCATCTTTTGCATTACAAAAAAAAAAGAAAAAAGGAAAACCCAAAACTGCTTGTAATTGCAGTTCTGCAAATTCCACGCCTTGTAGTGAGTTTTTACATTTCCTGGGCTTCCTCCCCATCTTATTCCCCTAGCTGCCAAAGCCTCCCTCCAGTGGTGCTGTCTCCCGATACTGTGAACACCCGTTGCTTCCAGCTGTTTCTCCAAAAGTCCTGCACCTTGTCACTGGCTTTACCCCAGTACTCTCCACGCCAAACCACAAAAGAAGTTCTGGGGATTAAACCAGCTTTCTGTACACTTTTATTTAATCCCTCCCAAAACTATGTGTAGAATTTGAGAGGGTTTTTATGTGTATTTAGCACAGCTGGTCTGCTGGTTGCACATGGGCAGAAGCTCCAGGAAAGTGAACCGAGACAAGACTCAGGTAACAAAGCTGCTGGCAAAACAAGTGTACTTCCTTGCCTCCTGTACAGTGAGGCAGAGCCTGCAATCATGTCTGAATCACCAGGAGGATGCAAAGACCCTTGAAGGCATATTTTGCACTTTGATTCCGGTCTCAGTTATCCTCATGTCTCAGCGTTAATGCCTAGTTCATGTCACAAGCTATTTAAGATTGCAAGCAAAGTGTCTTTCACTGTCATATGTAAAGAAATGCTTTCACCAATGGAGTTCTTATGGTTCCTCTCATTCACGGGGTGGCCTATGGCTTCACTTTTAAGGAAATAAGTTACCAGTTAGCATGAAGGAGAGATGTTAGAAAGGAGAATATTACACTGTTTGCAGCCTGTACATTTATGTGCTTCACAGTGCATGCTGCCATCCCGAGTTCCATCTCTGCCTGCCCCATCAATCATTCCCTTTGTTCACATTGTGAAGGGGATATTTTTTTAATGTGTGAATGATGCCCAGTCCTCAGGCTTGTGCAATGCCTGCTGAGCTGAAAGGAAGAAAACAATATGATTTTGCAGTGAGAATGTTCTGTGCCATGTCCAACAATGAATTTATCAGAAAGGCAATTTTTCCTCCACACCTAGGAATGGCTGCATTTCCACTAATGGTGGTACACCTC